GAGAATAAAAGTCCTAAGAGCCCTGCGGCGGCAACTGGCCGTTAAAAAAAAAATCTGGCCATATTTCGGCTCGGTAGGGCCCCACAGAGCTCGTGAGAGCACCTCGAGGGCTGCTAAGTAGACACGCTTATCTCCATAAGGGTGCCACACCAGCTTCTGAAGGCTCCTTGTAGGCACCTAAGGGCCCCTTCAGGCCTCTAACGGCTCCACCCGCCTGTAATGGCTCCACACCAGTGTTTATGAGCGCCACACACCGGCGCCTTTGAAGGTCATACCTACCAGTGTCTCTTAAAGGAAATAGTCCACTTTTCACATGTTTTTTTTATAACTGGAATAGCAGTTTTGTACTTTGTAGCTTGAGCTGAGACTAGCACAAAGATGATTGGCTCTTTGTGGCTTTTACGGCTCAACAATCACCCTAGACGAAGATATTCCATTTCTCATTCCAAAAAGAGTGCCTTTCAGAGGAATGCGCGCCTTGCAGAGGAATGCAGTCACCTCATCGTCAGCCAATCAGCATGGGTATGTTTGAACTACACAATATGATTAGTCAACGCGTTGTAAGGTTCCGCGATAAACATAATTTTATATAGAATATAGTTCTTCCTAGATTAAAATATGGAAAATAATCCTTCATACAAAAAGGTTTTATTTTATTTTCTGATAATTATGATCATGAATCATTAATCTGTAGTAAAATACAAATTTCAGGAAAATGAACCATTTCCTTCAAGGCCCTATACCTATCTGTGGCTCTGAGGGCCCCACACCGGCGCCTCTGGGGCCCACACACGTGTGCATCTCAACTCTCAAGGCTCTATAGGTGCATCTGAAGGACCCACACCGACACCTCTGAGGGCCCCACACCAGTATCTCTGAGCTCTAAATGCCCCACACCGGTGACTGAGGAGTGAGGACACACCGGCGCCAGAGAACACTAACGGCTCCACAAGGCCACTGAAGGCACCACACAAGCTCTCACTGAGCTCTAATATCCCATACCGGCCTCTGAGGGATACCGGCCTCTGAGGGTCTGAGAGGCCCGTCTATCCACAGTCCACACTAGTCAGAGGAGGTATCTGAGACTTCGGACTATTATTCTCAGGGGCCTCCCATGCCTAGTTTGAATAGAAGGGCCTCTCAGACCATCAGTCTCAAAGGCCATTTCTGGCCACCGTCAGTCTCAGGGGCCTCCTTTGGCAACTATAGATAGAAGGGCCTCTTAGATCATCAATCCCAGGGGTTTTCTCTGGCTGGTATGAATAGAAGAGCCTCGCAGATAATTAATTTCAGGGTCGTCTCTTGGTTAGTATGAATATGAGGGGCTCTCATACCCTTAAGTTCATGGGCCTCCTCTGCCTTTTATGAATAGTAGGTCCTCACAAACCACCAGTCTCAATTGCCTAGTCCTCTGGCCAGTGTGAATAGAAGGGTCTCTCAGACCATCAGTCTCATTGGCCTTCTTCCGGCCAGTATAAACATAAGGGCCTGTTAGACCATCAATCCCAGGGGCGCCTTAGGTTAGTATAAATAGAAGAGTCTGTCAGACCATTTATCTCAGGGGGCTCCTGTGCAGCTGTGGCTAGTATAAATAAAAGGGTCTCTCAGACCATCAGTCTCGGGGCCTCCCTAGGACAGTGTGGATAGAGGGGCCTCCTCAGATTCACTAGGACCTCTCTGACTATCAGTCTCAGAGGCCTCTTCTGACTATTGAGGATAGAGGGGCCTCTTCTGACTAGTGAGGGTAGGGGGATCCCAGACCACCAATGTCAGGGGCCAATTCTGACTAGTGTGGATGGAGGGGCCTCCCAGACCACCAGTCTCAGGGACCTCCTCTAACTAGTGTGGATAGACGCCAGACGGGCCTCTCAGACCGCCAGTGTCAGGGGCCTCCCCAGACCAGTGTGGATATTGGGGCCTCCTCAGATCCACTAGCGCATCTCAGGGCATCAGTTCCAGGGGCCTCCGCTGACGAGTATGGATAGAGGGCCTCCTTGGATCAACAAGGGTCCCTTGTACTCTGTGCGTGGGGATTCGTGGAACTTATTTTTACCGAGTTTGTTTATTCTGGAAGGTGACCACGTCCTAGACGAGAGGGCCTCGAGTAAAAAGTGTGTGTGTGTGGGGGGGGGGGGCAAAACAAATGGTTGGCCCCCAGGACTTCCTCTGAGATGCTAGGGGGGGGGGCATAGCCCCCCGCAGTGATGCCGCTGGCCCCCCAGTGAAGCTGAAAAGAAAAATAGGTCCTCTCGGCATCACTTATCATTCTGCTAGGGACTTCATGGTGGTGCGCCGCCCCGCATGAAAACTGCGCGGCTTGAATCAGGCATCAGTACACGTTCAGAAACTGAGCCCACCTGTGCAGCCTGGTTGAGTGGCTCTAACCAATCGCTAGCCAGGATGTTGCGCCGGTAATACTTATCACTGATAGTGGTTTTCTGTGGCGTCATGAACGGCTTGAATATTACACAGCAGCTGAACATGCTTCAGGTCTAGATTTTGGCCGGATGTTTGACGCCGGGCGACGCCGTTCGAGCTGCTGGCAGCCCACACATGGTCAATTTGACGGCTCAACGGATATCGCAGCTCGAACGGCTTCCCATCCGACCAGGCCACCTCATTCATCTCTTCCTTCGACCAGTGGAAACGCCCTGGCCTGAGTCCAAAGGTGGTGGACTGGTTGTTGTCCCGTCAATTTCATTGTCTTTTTCAGTTTGAAGGGCAGCAAAACCAAGCTAAAGGGCGGGTAATGGTGAATCATGATGTGGGACCTCTTATTATCTGCCTTGGTAAGAATTCGAGTCTGTTTGCGTTTCCCAGTCGCTATCTTGACAACTCTTCTCACCACTTGGCAAAGGGCGCCTTTTGCGATCGACGCCGGACTGAGTCTGCCACCAAGTCCCAGTCTGTTACGCCTCAGGCAGATGTGCTACTGGCTGCTGCTGATGTCCAGCTGCTGACAGACCAGCTCCTGGCTCATGCCACCATGCCACTAACACTTAGCCTTACTACGAAACGAGAAACTGTACTCCCTTCTCTCCACTTCGTTGAACGAAAACTCTCAAATGAAACCGTTGGCGACTCGACTCTTACTAAGAGCAAGAGTCATTTCGCAAGGTCAGGTCACTGCTGAGTTGAGAGCAGATACCAGAGATATGTCTCATGGAGCTGAGCTGGCGGCCGCCGCGCCGGTGCACGCGTACTTGCGCTCGTGACATCCGTGCTGGGGGCACTCGTATGTGAACCGTGGTGGCGTTGCCTCTGTGACCCGGGGGCTACCTGGCCGGCTCGAATACGCGGCGATGGCGGGCAGGGCGCCCGAGTTCGATGCGGACGTTGAGTGCTTCGGTGCTTATACGCGGCGGTTAAATCAGTACTTTGTGGCGCAAGATATCGGGAGTGATCAAGAAGCAAAGAAGCGGGCCGTGCTGCTTTGTGCGATCGGCGCAAAAACGTTCGGTCTGCTGGAAGATCTTATTGCTCCAGCCACTGTAAGGCAGAAAACATACGATCAGCTGGTCAGCGTTTTGCAAAGTCACTTCGAGCCGGATAAATCTGAAATAGTGGCCAGATTCCGGTTTCATTCGTGCTCCAGGAATGACGGTGAGACAGTTGCTAATTTTCTAGCGCGGCTTCGTAAGCTGGCTAAAGACTGTTCGTTCGCACCTAATGTCCTTAATGAAATGCTGCGTGACCGTTTGGTCTGTGGCATACGGAACGAGTTGCTGCAACCTTGCTTCTCAGTGAGCCGGGGCTGACGCTCCAGTCGGCGGAGCAGCTGGCTCAGGCACACGAGTCGGCGGCAGCGAGTGCGGCTGAGCTCAGCGGCGGTGCTGAGCAGCGAGCAGATGGAGCCTCCGTTCATCGGCTGACTGGTGCCCGGGGTCCGCTGCGGCTGCGTAGCAGTTCTAGGGGTGCCGGTGCTGCCCGCGCTCCTGCCGGCTACAGGGACGGCGGTGGCGGCGCAGCGGACTCCAGAGCTGGTGATCGGCTGCGCTCTCAGCGTGACAGGACGACGCCCGGGCCAGGTGACAGCACGGCGGCGAGCTGTTTTAGGTGCCTGAGGTATCATCAGCCGGCCAAGTGCCCGTTCATCGATAAGGTGTGCTACAGCTGTGGCCTCAGGGGTCACGTCCGAGTACCTCCGCCATGTCTCGGCTGATGGCGACGCGTTACAAGGGTCGGACGCGCAGGAGGGTAGCAGAGAGGACGGCACTATTAGAGTTGCAAAGTTTCCCCCAAAGGCTGCTACCGGCACCGCCCCGCCCCACAATTTTTTTTGGGGGGGGATACCGGCATGCTACCACGCCCAAAGCAAAAACACCACCAAATTACCGGCATACTAAAAAACCTGCATTGTTGATTCCAGTTTACCCCTACAAGAGATGCCACATTTTCCTCTTAGTGTCCAAAGTTTGAATCATATGCTAATATTTTTTTTGTGCAAAACCAAAAATACCGGCATGCTACCGGCAAGACATGCCAGATACCACAAAAAAAACTGCGGTAATGAAAAATTACCGGCATGCCGGTAATGCGGTAGGGAAACTTTGCAACTCTAGGCACTATGCAACCGAGGAGTTCTAGTCCCGGGACCGGTGAGGAGGTGTACATACAGCATTTTCACCGTCCGGACCGGCCTCGGTGTCAGGCGACCGCCGCTGATGGTGCCGGTAGCGCTCGACGGTCAGAAGGTCGAGATGGAGCTGGACACCGGGGCGACTCTGTCGGTCTGCTCTGACGCCGGGTTTCGGCAGCTCTGGCCCTGTGGCGGGCCGAAGCTGGAACCGTGTTCGGTGAAGCTGAAGACCTACAGCGGTGAGCAGCTGCCAGTCATGGGGCAGGCTGCAGTGAACGTTCAGTACGGCGGACAGGCTCAGCGACTACCTCTCATCGTAGTCGAAGGTGGCGGGCCCTGGCTGTTCGGCAGGAACTGGCTGGGACACATCAGGCTCGACTGGCCCTCCATCTGTTGAGTGACTGCGGAGACCCGTTTGCAGCCCATCCTGGACGAGTTCGCTGACGTTTCAAGGAGGAGCTGGGCTGCTATCGAGGCGGGGAAGTCGGCATCGACGTAGACCCGGACGTCCAGCCTCGTTTCTTCAAGCCTCGCACCGTACCGCTGGCCTTCAGGGAAGCTGTGGACACCGAGCTGGAGGACCAGATCCGTGGCGGACTCTGGGAACAGGTACGGCACAGCAAATGGGTGGCTCCCTTGGTGGTTGTCCCAAGGCTGGGGGTCAGTCAATACGGGTGTGTGGGGACTACCGCTTGACCGTCAACAGGGCTGCTAAGGCAGAGCAGTATCCCTTGCCGCGTGTGGAGGAACTGTACTCAAAACTGTCGGGATGTACCATATTTTCAAAGATCGACTTGAAAAACGCGTATAATCAGCTTCCGCTAGATGAAAAGGCCCGCGAGTATTTCACGGTAAACACCCCGAGGGGTCTTCTTCGACCCCTTCGGTTGACCTTCGCCTATTCGAGTGCAGTGTCGCTGTTCCAGCGGACGCTGGAAACTGTCCTGGCTGGTATCTCTGGCGTTGGGGTCTTCTTGGACGACATTGTAGTCGCGGGTGTCGATGCCGCTGCGCATGACGAGGCCTTCCGGCAGGTTCTTAGACGGCTGGAGGAAGCGGGTTTTAGGCTCAACAAGGCCAAGTGTAGCTTCAGCGTCAGCAGCGTGACCTATCTGGGGCTTAAGATAAGCAGCCGTGGTGTGGAGACCACCGACGAGAAAACGGCCACGATTGTCCGTGCCCCGGAACCGCGGGATGGTAAGGAACTGCGTAAGTGGCTAGTAATCAACTACTATGGGAAATTCCTTGAGAACCTGGCGAGTGTCTTGGCTCCGCTCTATCGTCTTCTAAAGGCAGATCAGCCCTGGCAGTGGGCTGAGGCAGAGAAGTCTGCTTTTCGGAAAGCCAAAGAGATGCTAGTTAGCCCTCCTGTACTAGCCCATTTTGATCCCGCCCTTCCGGTGGTTCTCGCCTGTGACGCGGGACCGGTCGGCATTGGCTGTGTGTTGAGTCAGCGGACATCACAGGGCGAGCGACCTGTGGCCTACTATTCGCGCACGTTGAATGACACCGAAACTAGATACTCACAGACTGATAAAGAGGCATTAGCTGTAGTGACCGGCGTTAAGAAATTTCACTATTACCTAGCGGGGCGAACTTTCACTATACAGTCAGATCATAAGCCTCTCATAGGCCTCATAGGAGAGCAGAAACCTTTGCCCGTGATGGCGTCACCTAGGATGGTCCGCTGGGCTCTGATGCTTGGGGCCTACGATTACCACCTTGAGTACCGGCAAGGATCTAAGCAAGGCCACTGTGACGCGCTTAGCAGGCTGCCTTCGTGCGAGAAGGCTTGTTCGAGCGTTCCAATTCCGGCTGAGACTGTCCATTTACTTCAGTTCATCGACTCATCCCCAGTGAATGTGTCCCAGATACAGCGGTGGACCGCTCTGGATCCCGTGTTGTCAGCGGTACATCGATATGTCAGAGATGGCTGGTCGGATGTCAATAGTGTTTCCCTCAGCCCTGATTTTCAGCCGTACAGGTCCCGTATAGGTGAACTGAGTGTGCAGGATGGCTGTGTTTTGTGGGGGTCACGAGTCCCGCCGCAGGGACGGGGTGCCATGTTAAAGTTATTACATGAAGGTCATGCTGGCGAGTGTAGAACCAAAATGTTGGCTAAAATGTATGTTTGGTGGCCAAAAATCGATGACGACATTCGTGATATCGTGAAGTGTTGTGTGAAGTGTCAGGAACTGAAGGGCAGGGCCCCTGACGCTCCACTGCATCCTTGGCAGTGGCCGACTCGACCCGGCAGCGAGTCCATGTAGACTATTGCTCGGCTAACGGATAGATGTTTCTGGTGATAGTCGACGCCCACTCCAAATGGATGGACGTCTACCCAACTCGTTCCTCCGACTCACTGATCACGATTGAAAAATTACGAGCGTCGTTTGCGTGCTGGGGAGTGCCAACAGTGCTAGTGACAGACTACGCCCAGTGTTTTGTATCACAGCAATTCAAAACGTTTTGCAGTGTAAATGGGATCAGGCACTTAACGACACCCAGCCTATCACCCAAATCAAACGGCTTAGCCGAAAGAAGCGTGCAAAGCTTCATAAACGGGCTGTACAAACAGATCTCGGGGTCCATTGAGACCAAGGTCTCTCGATTTCTGTTTAGGTACCGCACAACACCGCATACTACGACCTCATGTACGCCCGCCGAATTATTTCTGGGTCGTGTGCCACGCACTCATTTAGATGGTGTGCTACCAGATAGGCAGGAGCGTATACGGAGACAGCAGGAGGCTCAAAAGACGTACCGTGATCGAAATGCCCGTGAACGATGTCTGAACCCGGGTGACCCTGTGTATGTGCCTGCTGTCGATAGATTGCAGGGATTGGAGCGTTGTCGGTGGGCGCCCGGTTGTGTAGTGTTCGTAGAGGGTTAAGGTCACTGTGGAGCTAAATGACGGAAGGGTGATTGTGCGGCACGCCGACCAGGTTCGTGAGCGATATTCAGCTGTTCCGCATGTCGCTAACGATCCTCTCCGTTCCAGAGTGACACCGATACCTGCTCCTGATCCGGTCACGGAGAGCGCCGCTGCATCTGCACGGCATGCTCCCGTTCCCGGACAACTGGCCTCCACTCCCGACCGGCTGCCGGCTCCTGATCGAGCGCCTGCTCCTGGCCGGCCGCCTGTTCCGGCGCCGCCCGGGCTGACCGGAGCGGTGCCCGCGCCGGGTGTGACCACCGTCCCGCCGTCCGCACCCTCTCCCAGCGCGCCGCGGTACCGGCTGAGAGACCGGTCCACCCTGCAGCCCCCAGACCGATACGTGGCGAGCTATGAGTAGGCGTTTTGTTTCAGTTGTTATTTGTTCTGTGAGGTGCATATTTATTTGTTTGTCCATGCTGTGCAAGTATTCGGGGTGGAGGAGTGTCATGGAGCTGAGCTGGCGGCCGCCGCGCCGGTGCACGCGTACTTGCGCTCGTGACATGCGCTCATGACACTCGTATGTGAACCGTGGTGGCGTTGCCTCTGTGACCCGGGGGCTACCTGGCCGGCTCGAATACAGTTTGGACCGAGACACCGTCTGTGATAATATGCATTCATCCAATTTTCCAGCTTCCACATTAAACAAGAAACTGTGCGAGCAGATATGGCGAAAAAAATAGATGTCCGGATAATTTCGTTACACCCTGTATGTTCTAGTGCAAACGAATGCTATGATGCTAGGGGAGCGGCTGCAGGCTGGCGTAGCGCGTGCGGCCTTACGGTGGTTGGGTGAACGTGCCGCCTTCTGCTGTGGGGTGGGTGGGTTGGGGGAGGTCCTCCTTGACCCCGTGCCGGCCCCGCCACCTGTGCTGCGCCATCTTTGGGCTGGCGACGGTGTGGAAGCGCGTACCTTCCGTCAGTTTTCCAGGCATCTGAAGTCTGAACTCGGCGCTGGCCCTGTCGTCGATGTCTGCGCGTGAGCCGTGGCGGGTGCCACAGCCTGCTGGCACCGGCGGGTACGTGCCGTGTACATGTGGTGCGGACTGCGGCACCGACTTGAACCACTCGAAGCCAACGGAGACCAGCCACCCTCATTCGCTCAGATTTATGTGAACGACCCACGAGCCGAAATACTGATGCCGAGGACCACGCACGCATTGTGGCATCACATAGAGAACACCTATTACATCCGGGAACGACTCCGAACGGCCATTTTCGGGAAATTTACCGTCCGCGGTGAATATTCCTGCAGGAATATGCTCTGAACGTATCAACCGAATTTGATGTTAGTGCCGGACCCGTGGACTCAGAACTGCGTCACTAATGCCTGTTCACAAATGTAGCGCGGCGTGAGCCATCCATGGACTGCGTGTTTCTTTTTTCCAACCAAAGGTAGGCACTATACCTGAAGATGCTTCTTTGTAACCAAACCAAACAAAAACTAACAACCTAACCTAACCTAACTTGATCTAACCTACAGCCTACAAACCTACAACGCGCTAAAAAATTCAGCCGCCGGCGGGATTCGAACCTTCGGTCCTCTGAACACGGGGCGAGTGCACTAACCAACCACTACACCTCGCAGACAGCTGGCCGGATAAAGGTGTTGTAAGTCACTTGACAATGACGCACTGGGATATACTCCGTGTAGCGCCTTCCTTTGATTGGAAAAAAGAATTACGCCCGTGGACTAGCATCTTCAACTCCGTAGCAGTGTCTCCCAATCTGCGGAAAGCTCAGCTGGTCGCATGATAACCGTGGCGAAGTTTTCTGGCTCTGCTTCAACGGCTCCTTCATATTCCCTTCATATCAGCATAAGCCAGATTTAGGCTAACTTGCAATTAAACGATCAAAAATGTTAGCTTAAGTTTCGTTAGGGTAAATTAAACGGTGTTTTATTTGGTTAGGCTAAGCCCGAAAAACGCGTATATATGTCCGGGTCAATCTGTGTGACCCGCGCCAGGTCTGAGATTGTCGCAAGCAGTCGCGCGGTCGTCAGACGGCCTTCTGAACCTCACCAGAGATATGCCGCTTTGATCTCAATCGACATGACCGAGACTAATCCGCTGAATCGGCGATAACCTGCCGAAGAGCTGGTCAATGAGATATGGCTGCCGTTTCCTGCATAGGAGCAAATTGCATACGATTGTTGCTGGCGAGAGCAATTGTAGTTACGATCACTAACTTTTGGGTATGACACAGTTGAAATAGCGTTCGGTCGTATCTAGGCTCAACTTGTTTAACGTTACTACTGCGGCAGAGTGGTATTACGGGGAAATATATAGGGATTACCTTTGAGTGTCTCGCCGACTGAATACGGACGGGCTGTATTTGTGTAATATATCGCATGTGGTGTGATTTGTGGAGGGGTAGAGGCCGGCTCAGTATTTGTGACGAGTCTCAAGTGTGATGAAGAGCCGCACGTGAGGCGAATCTGCACCCCGGCAGGACACCGGTACAGGGCCCACTGTGCAGCACCGATAACCGATAGGTCATCGGCGTTCCGACAATTTGTCGCGGTCCTCAGGGGGCAAGAGGGAATTAGCATAGTTGACGAGCTCTCTTGTGCTGCATGTCAGTTTCATGGCTGTTGGTAAAACGAGTAAAAACGACATAGAAGTGATTAACCTGATGTGATGCATCTTATTTTTTATTTTCTCGCGTAAATAAATATTTCACATTGCTTTGCAATTTGCATTTGTTGCATTGTGAACTCGACGTACATTTCAGTACGTTCATAATTCAACCCAGCACCAGCGAATTTGGTTCCTATCACGACATGCACTTACATGCTATGATAGAACAAATTCAACAGCGTGGTGTCGACTTACGTGTATATTCGGGGATTTTTAGGAATCCAAGCAAAATGCAACATACAGTTAGATATCTGGAAAAGCAATTATTTAATGTTTATTTTGTAGAGCGAGCGTTCAAGAAGTTCAAAATGACTCAAAGGCCTAATTTTGGCACGAGTTCATAACATATTTACTCCCCATCTGTACCAATCGTTGCAACTTGCAACCACACGAATTCTGCTCTTTTTCAATGGCGCTCGTTCCCTCTAGTATCAAAAGCAAACGTAATAATTTTGCGGCTCTTTATTTAACTTTTAAAGAGTTGACACCGCCAGTGATAAGGGCAGTCTTTATTCGTTTCAAAACAGCTTCAAATGCAGTCACTGATGTCCTTCCATAACAGATCATGAACTAGAAAATAGCATGTATGGGAGTAACAACGGCATGATTATACGCCATCAGTGCAGGCACACTTTCTGTTATTGGTGCAAATCACTCATGCCGAATTCAGTTGGTTTGTGCCACACTGGCTGCATTGTCGCGTTCATTTCACGGTGCAGGTGCAATCTCGTTAGCTAAAATAAACCTACCACCAGTCCAATAAATAGGTGCGCAATTATTGCAGCTCCCCATGCAGCTGATATTTAGGAGCCGCAAAGTCATAATACCACATAGGTGACAGGTGTCAGTGGTGTATGGTATCAGGAATTGGCGGCTTTGGTGTTGTTGCTAACAAGCTGGGTGTCGGGGCAAATGATCGGTCATATGTTTCTCGGTCTAATTGGAAGGGTGGTTGGCACCCATGAAAGAAATGGACATTGTAGTTGGTTTAGTTATAAAGCCAGTCGAATGGAACTTGGAACTTGGAACTGGCTTGGAACACCGTGCACCCCTGCAAACTGCCTTCTATGTCTACCCAGTTACCTACAGTGCTACATAGTTATTAGCAGTGTAAAAATGCAAATAAGAAATAATTGTGCAAAATTAACCTCGCTTTACAAAACCTTCAGCCAAACTAAGGAAGGTGAGGACGTTTTTGGCCTTTTCCCGGATTGATCCCCAAGTCAAGCATCTTTGCGAGACGTGAGAGAAAGTGTTTGAATAGTATGTTACATTTATTAATTATTTTTCTGAGTTTGGTTGGTGCTAAAGTGCCTTTCAAAAATTAAAGCAAAGGCAAACGGCTAGACAGGCTGAATGAAGTTTTGAAGTTTCTTTAGAGTAATTTGATTTAGTGTCATGCGATGTTGTCATTGCCGAACAAACAGAATGGGAAAGCAGTTCATACTTTCTAGTTTCTGGCCACGAGTGACGGATCTCACGCTGTAAATGTGAGTCGATCAACTTTTGAAATGCTCAGCTGAACAAACACTTAGCCGACGTGCAGGGAAATCCAGAGAAACTAACTTCGCGAAACCACTTCCTTCTCCGCATACCACACCGTACTCCAAGTCACTCCCATTCCATTGCGGCGCGTGCATACCCCACACAGCAGTGGCCAGCGTTCTCGTGGGAGCCTCTCGCCACCAGAAGTTGCAATCACCGTGTTTAATCAAGCCGGCGATTCTTTCCCAGCGGCTTGCCGGAGCCGAGCTGATGGCATCGGCCGCTGCGGCGATGACATGCGTCATTTGGTCGGATCGTGCACCCCCTCGTGGGCCGAACACCATCGGCAGTGGCCGCCGCTGGGCGGACGCCGCGAGACTCGCCGAGACGGCAGCGGGCGGTGGCAGGCAGTGCGCGGGTGGTCATAGTCCAGACGAGAAGGATACATTCCTGGCGCGCCACGCCAGTTCTGCGGTCGTCATAGCAACCAGTAAACAATGGATGGATGCAGCAGTGCGCAACAATGCCGCACTAAATCACACCATTGGCTAATGCATTGTCAATGCTGCCAGTTCAACTTTGGTGATTGAACTGCTGGTTGGAACGTGGTGTTCCTCAGGGCTCGGGGAATTGGCAATGCACGACAGTTCATTACTCGAACGGCAGTAAAAATAAAGGTAGGGGAGACCCGGGAGGTATGGGCCCCCTGGAGGTATGGGCCATCGCAGTTTTGAAGAAGTGTTGCGTATTTTTACACATTTGACAGCGTAAACTGGTAGCAGCCATTCCGTTATACAACCCACGTGATTTTCAAAATCTTCCTCAGTCTTCTTTGGCAATGAGCGGTGATAAAGCGTTTTTGCCCTCTTCGAGTAAAATACTGTACATACAGAAAATTTGTGATAAATTTGAACCAGACTCGTTTTATGATGTCAGACGAATGCTAACATAATGTTTAACCCTCGCCGGCACAGGCCATTTTGCGTCCTTCGACGGCACAAGGGGGGGGGGGGTTGGTACGACCCCCCCCCCCTCGCGTTTGGCCCCTGATTGAGCTAGAGCTTCGCGGAAAAAACGAGCGTGTTGCCCGTCACGAGAGGAAGCCGATGATACCCCATTTTAAAGTCCTAGGTCATCGGGTGACCTTCCAGGTCAGGTCAATGACCCGAAAACCGGGAAAATCGGGACCTGTTAGAAAGTCGTAAAGTGTGGCTGCTATGTGGTTTTCCGGGGTGCTGATCACGAATATCGTGTTAGTTTTGATCAGAGATGATGTTTTTAAGCATTTAGACCAGGTCGGGTCAGGTCAGGTCAGGTCAACCGGTAGGGGTTGTGACGGGTATTCGTAATACGTGTCAACCGCGTCTGGCAGCTTCGTAACATGTTACGAAGGCACCAAAACTACTTCGTAAATGTTCAAATGGTTGCTAAATTCGAATTCAGCTCCAAAAACTAGCCTAGAAACATGTAA